ATTTTTAGTGTTTACAAAGGAGAAAGGGGAGACAATGAGGTCGTCTTTTAATAAAAGGATTAGAGTTTGGTATTGGTGGAGGATGGTGGTTGCAGTGTTTACAGTGGGAAGGAAGAATTGTGAGGCACCAGAGAAATTTAGAAAGATTGACATAATAGTAGAGATATTAAAAGAGGATCATAGAAGGTAGCAAAATTAATTCTAGTTTTTCCATGTTGTCAATTGTCGTACTGAGTTGAGGATGAGTTTAAAAGCAAAGAGAGAGAAAACCTTCACTGAAATTGTGAAGAATAGCTCTGAACAGATGAGTTGGATAAGGACGATGAAACTCGATAGTAAGGCAGAATGGGTGAATTTCAAATTTCAAAATATCAACAACCAAAAAGCAAAGAGGGAACATCATTTTGATAAAATCTAAAACACAAAAATATTTTCAATCATTTCAGTAAAAATTTAAATTAAGTTGAGCCTCTAAAAAAAATTCTTTGTATCCAGCATATTTGAACTGAGGGTGAAAAAGCTTTCACGGGTTTGAGAAAGGCAAATAGGGGGAACGAATGGGAATAAAGAGACGGGCCAAAATGTTGAGTCATGTCTAAAATGGGTTTGAGACTCATAACTTGGATGAGATCGCAAAAAATTGAGGTAGAATGAGGTGGAGAACAAGTTTTAATGCATTTGATGGCATAGGAGAAAACATATTTGGTTTCCAAGGGTGGGGGGTGATAAAAGACAAAGAGAGATAAGTGACCTTAGGGAGACAACAGCCTTAGGCAGCAAGAAGGGGAAAGAAAAGATGGAATCGGGGGATGGTGAAATGTGGTCGTGATGGTGAATAAAGAACTCATCCAAAATTTGGTGGTGTTTTTGGTAAAGGAAAAAGTAACAAAAAGTACTGTCGGGGGAGAAATGATGATGATTCAAAAAGGGGAGTAGAAACTTCTAGTTGAATCCAAAATCTAATTGAAGGAGAAAATTCTAGTTGGGTACTCCAAGATATTCAGAGGATTAGTTGTATGTTGGAGATACCTTTTTTATAGTTTAGAGGAATAAACTATAGAGCTATTAAGGAGATAGAGAATTAAAGGAATGAGAAAATGAGAGGAGAGAGACAATAAAAATCAAAAGATAAAAATAAACAGATGATGAAAAGTTCATGGAGCTAAAAAGGTTGTAGTTTAGAATCAACTACAAGATAACTCGAGGTCAAGAGGAAAGAAGGGAGAGAGTCACAAAAGAGATTTAAACCTTGTTTAATCGTATCATTTCATGAAAATGAAATGATAACAGGTAATTAGGGGTCTACATGAGTAGTAGAAATCTGATGTCATTTGTTTGTAAGGTTCTAAAATAGAGCCTATATCTTATTAGATTATCTGAAACTTGTGGAAGATAAAAAAAAAAAATAGGTTGACAAGACATAACAGCTAGAGATTCATTTGGAGGGATTCTAGTCTTATAAAAAGATGAGTCTTTTAAATGTGAGGAGATTATGAATATTCATCATCTTGTTTGTTGAAAGACTATATAAAAGGAGGAAAATGAGTGTTTACCGGTGTTTACAATAGTGAAGAAGGGAGAAAGAGAGAGAGAGAGAGAGCTTGCCATAAAAGGATTTTTAAAAATATAAATAAAAATGAGAATTCTCGTGGATGATGGAGGTGATTTCATTATGATTTTGAATAGATATAAAAGATTTAATGAACACTTCTTGAGGGTTTGTGTTGATAAATTTAAGAGAATTCTTGATAGACTTGATTTACTAAATTTATCTCTTATGGGAAATGAATAAATATGATTTAATTAGAGATTTAGCTCGACATGCTTATGAATTGACTGATTCTTAGTATTTGTTTTTTACTAACTTCAAGTTTCAGGTATTTGTTGAAAGCTTTTGCAATAAGCCATATCCAACCACCTGCCTATTTTTCAGGTATCTAATGAGATCAAATGAGGCCCTCATCCACTCAAATTTTCAGAAAAATGGACAAAAGAGAATACTTTATGTGGTAAGATATAAGGAAGGTAAAGAGAGTCAACAATGAAAAAAAAGTATAAGATCACTTTATTCAAAAATTAAAGATTGTAAAAACCAAAATCAAGAAATGGTGTAAAAAGAATAAGTGAAAGAAAGGTATGCTTATGCAACTTTTGTTTTACGATATCGAGATGGGTGAAGGGTGAGAGTGTTTTGTTTACTGCAGATTTGGCTTGTAGGGAATCTTCGAAGTTTGAATTGACAAACAAATTTAAAATAGAGATATTCTAGAGACACAAATCGAGTAATCAGGTAGATTAATGAGGAAAACAAAAATATCAAATTCTTTCATAATATGACAAATTATCATAGAAAAACTAAATATG